TCACAAGCATGTATCTGAGGTGTGCCTCATTCCCAGGGGTGGAAGGAAGGGGGCGGATGCTGGGGGTGAGGAGACAGGACACCTGATGAGGGGGGTGAGAGAGACAGGGTCTCAGTCCATCATCTGACAAATGAGGGGGTTGGGTCAGATGACCTCTGAGCTCCGCTTCCCTCCAATTGGAGGATCCTCCTTGAATCCCAGCCCGATTCTGAGCTGTGAGCTTGTATGATGAGCAGGGTGGTAGTGTCTGCACCAGAAACACTTGGGCTTGGAGAGCCATCTGAGGCTTGGGGTTCCCTGGGGACATGGAAGAAGAGTGGGATTTAATGGATTGTCAAGAGAAGGTGACTGACCAGCATTCAAGAGAGGTCAGAACTGGACAAGATGCCAGCATTCCTGGGGCATCTCTGGATCCATGCCAGTCCTTTGAGCACAGATGCCCGGTTCCTTGTCAGAGGGTGCAGTTGTGTTTACAGCCATGGAACTGGAGCGGCACAGCAGATGTTGACTGCTGGAGTTGGAGTCAGGAAGACTTGAGTTTGAATCCATCCTCAGACACAGGTTCTGGCTGTATGATCCCGGACAAGTCACTTGACCCCTCCTCTGTAAAATGGAGCTAATAACAGCACCTGTTTTCTTGGGTTTTTTGGAGGATCAAATGAAATAACAGCATGAAAAGCTCTCCCAAAGCTTCACGTGTGGTTGAAATGCTGGCCACCTCCTCCTCCTCTTTCTCATTGGCACATTGCTCCAAATGGTGATTAATTCTTTTTTCTACGTGCCATTACACTAGCCTACAGCCTGTTGCTGCTGCTCGGGACTCTCCTTTGCAACTGCAGAGCCCTTTTCTGCTTTGTTTGCTCTTTGAAGGATTTCTTCCATGTTTGTTTTTTTTCCCCTTCCAGTGAAGACTTCATTCTCCTGGGCAGCTTGGTGCACAGACGAGCCCTTCTCTGACCTTTTCCTTTCCTTTTTGGAAGGCCAGCTTGCAGCTGATGCTCACTGGCAAAAACACCCCTAACCCACACGCTTCAATTTATTGCCGTATTCCCCTAGACCTTCAGACATGTGGGAAGCAAGATGCTCGGTGCACTATCATTCTTACTAGTATCTCTTCTGGCTAATTCTCGGAGGAAATAAATGAACAAGCTACAAATTAACTTGGAAAGAAAAAACTGCAGAACCAGATGGATTCACAAATGAATTCTATCAGACATTCAAAGAACAATTAATTACAGCATTACATAAATTGTTTACAATAGCAAAAAAAGAGATTCTATCAAATTCCTTCTCACACAGATCTGGTCTTGATACATAAACCAGGAAAAACCAAAACAAAACGAAAACTATGCATCAGTACCCCTAATGAACCTAGATACAAACATTTTAAGTAACATATTAACAAAGAAGCTAAAATACCATATCTTATGCTTGATGGCCAGATTGGATTTATAGTAGGAATTCAGGGTTGGTTTAGTATTAGGAAAACGATAAACTTTATTAACCATATTAGTAACAAAATCAACAGAAATCATAGGATTACATCAATAAATGGAGAAAAAAGCTTTTGACAAAATACAATACTCATTTCTGTTAAAACCTCAGAAAGCAGAGCAATAAATGAATCTTTCCATAAAATGATGAATGGTATATAGCTAAAACCCAGAACTCCTCTTGTAACAGAGATAAATTGTTTCCAGTAAATCAGGGGCAAAACGAGATGTGTGCTGTCACCACTTCTGTTTGACGCAGTGTTAGAAATGCTGGCCAGAGCGATGGGACAAGAAAAGGAAATGAGTGGAGGAAAAGAATGGTCACTTTTGTAAATGATATGATGGTACTTAAAGAACTCCGAAGAACCAACCGAAAACAAATGGAAAGGAGAACTTCGACAAACTTGTGTATCCAAAATCCACCGAAATCATTAGCATTTCTATTGAATTTTAATACAACGCAGCAGGAAGAGATAGAAAGAGAAATTCCTTTTAAAATTACTGCAGAATGAATAAAATACCTGGGTGATACACATACACGAACACAAACAACATACACGCACACACAAAAGTGTTTATAGAAATTTTGTTGTTTGTTTGTTTTCAGTTGCATCTGACTCTTTGTGACCCCATTTAGGGTTTTCTTGGCAAAGACACTGGAGTGGTTTGCCATTTCCTTCTCTAGCTTATTTTACTGATGAGGAAACTGAGGCCAATAGGGTGACGTGACTTGCCCTGGGGCACACAGCTAGTTAAGTCGGAAAGAAGAATCTTCCTCCCTGTAGGCCTGGCACTCTTGCCCCTGTGCCACTCAGCTGCCCCTTAGTTTAGATTCAGGAAACACTTTTTCTCAGTTAGAGTTGCCCGCCAGTGTAATGGGCTGGCGTGGGAGGTAGTGGCTTTCTCCTCTCTGGAGACTTGCAGACGCATCCTCCCACTGTGTGTCTGCTTGTTGGCGATGGCGCGATGAGAGTGTGTTTGGGGGCGGGGGAATGACAAGAGTAGACTGGACAGGCCTTGGAAAAGGGCAAGAACTCATCCAAAGCACATGGCCGTTGTTCTTGAAGTTTCCCCGGAACATCGCCGGCTCTCCTAATGCTGCTGATGCTAGCCGCCATTTGTGTCTCGTCTCCCATGTGCCGGGCGGTGTGCAGAGAGCTTCCCGAATGTTCCCTCATTTGATCCCCATAACAGCCCTAGGAGGCAGATGCTTTGGTGGTAGCCCTGTGGAGAGGCAGGGTGATGTAGAAGAAAGAATCATCATCACAATGGTTACTGTAGCCAGCGTTTATTTGGCACCTCCCTCATTCCTCCTCGTTGGCTTGAGCTATTCGGAGGGGGAATCTTGGAGAGGAGCCAGGCATCTTGTGTGGCCTGTGATCTCGACCCTCGAGCATCCTCTTCTTGGATTCTTTCTGGGAAGCAAAGGCCTTGGAAACTTAGCCCATAGCCTCAAATGAAAAGTGAACTTTATGTGATGGTTTTCCTTTTTAACTTATGGCTGGGGTGACAGAGACTTTGGTGAACTTTGTTTCTGCAGAACAATGAGAACTCTGCTCTAAGTGGACACGCTGGTAGGTAGATGATTTCAACACAGATGGAAAAACAAACAGCTGATCATTCTTCAGTCCCATTCAGTTCAGCCCATGTCAGTGTTTCCAGAGTACGCCCAGAATGGTAAAAGTTGGCTTGCAGCTGAGCCTTCGCTAAGAAGGGGCCAGCCCCAAAAAGGATTTATTTATTTATTTTGGCCCGTGTCATTTAAAAATGATAATGAGTACAAGGCACCCTCCAGTTGTCTGGTTTGGGGGCTTAGCCCATATGTATTTGCTTTTGCACCTGGAAACTCTAGTTTGTTTGGTTAAGGCTGGGTTTTGGAGGTTGGGGGCTGGGGGAGCTAGAATAACAAACAAAAATATAAAATATTGAATGTTGAAAAATGTTTAGCTTGCTACTTTTTCATGAGGATTTTTAATACTCCTGGTACGACGCCTACATGTGTCTTTACTGGAGAGATGTGGTTTCAGTTTCTTGGGTGAATGTGCATTTTATAAGTGTTTTTTTTTTAAAGGAAATTAAACATTAAAGGAATTTAAGTACTTTACTCTTTATATAATATAACTAAGAAAAGCCAGGAACTTCAGGGTTGGTTTTTTAAAATTTAATAAATATAATCCATTTTCCACCATTTTGTTTATTATGGCTGGGCCTTTTAAAAGTTAGAGTTTATTTTGATTTTGTTGTATTTCAGCAGATGTGCACAATAAATTAACCTATCTCTTTTCTTCATTGGGGCTTGGGGCAGTATAAAATAACATCTAGTTCTAGGGCATTTTGACATGCAAGTGATTTAGCTTCATTCAGCCTCTGTTGTCCTCTGGGTTGTTGTGTGACACTTAGCAAATGAGTCACGTGAAACAAGCAGAGTAAATTGGGCCGAAGGCTGGATTTCAGAGTGAAAATTCAGGCAGATGTAAGACTCATCTTACAGAAGTATCTTCTTCTGGACCTCCGTTTCCTCATCTGTCACATGATGACGTTAGACTGGATATGACATACAAGATATCGTTTCGTTCATTCCCCTACCATTTGTGATCACGTCGTGTGTGTAGAACGGGCAAGGTGGAAGGCCAGGTCCATCACTTACATCATGGCTGAGTCATTCAGCCTCTTAGAACCTCACTTTCCTTGTGTCAAATTGGAATTACAAGTTTTGAACTCCCCTTTGCACCAGGAAATTATGAGGAAAATATTTCATGTCTAACTGATAGACAAAGCATTTAGTTAGCTCTGGCTATATGCCAAACATTATACTAAGTGTGGGGGAGTATAAATGCAGAAGAGGAACCTGGCCCTGCCTTCAAGAAGCTTACTTTCTAACAGAGAGAGACAATGCATTATATAAAGTTCAGCTGCCAGTGACCAGAAAGGCCAGGCCATTCTAAGGACTTAGAGGGGTGGAAGAGATGGCAAAGCCCTGGGATCCTGGGGGCATCGAGGCAGCCCTGAAGGAGTAGAGTTGCTGACTCCTGTCCAGTCCCATGTGGGGAGACAAAGGGAAGGCAAAGGGGGGGAGTGCGCACCAGGAGCAGGGGAGCTATCTCCCCCCCTTCCTTGTGGCGCCCGCCCAGACAGTGTACTATTGTGTCCAGGCCTTGTGCTAGAGGAGGGAGGATAGGAAAGTGGTGGTGATGGTGACAATATGCCTCGTGCCTTACCAGGACCAAGAATTTCACAAACGTTTAGGAGGCTGTGATTCTTTCTGCGTAATGTGTCAGCAGAATTCTGTTTTTATCATGAATGGAAAGTGTTTCCTAGTAATAAAGAGCCAGACCTCCTGTTAGGAGGACCTGGAATCAAACCCTGCTTTTAGTGCACCGTGCCTCTGCAGTCGCAGGGAAGTTCTTTGATCTCCCGATTTCCTGAGTCTTTCAGAGTTATATCCTGAGGTGTAGCTTGATTGGATGCTGGAAATCCTTGACTCATTGATGTATTCTGGTCATCTAGGAAATGAGAATGCTGATGCACAGAGCGCACCCCAGGGAGACCTCCTCAAGCCCCAAGACCCGAGACTTTGCCCTGACAACTTGCTGCAAAGATCTGCCAAGGTAACAAGCCATCCCCCTCTGGGCAGGAGGCCTTGATTTGCCCCTTCTGTTCTGGGGGTCCCAGATGCCCCAGTGACCAGCAGGCTCATGCCCCTGGAGCCGCCTCCTCTGGCTCAGTGAGGCAAGTGGCATTGGCTTTCTCTGGGATGTCAGTGAAGGAGAATGTGATTTTCCAGGGAGCACCTTGTCCTTCTAGGAAGATTGTCCTGGTGTGCATGCCATGGTATGCCAGCCAGCTGGCTCTCATTTGAGTGGAAGCTCCTTGAGGGCAGGGCCTAGCTTCGCTCAGGTGTGTCCCCAGCCCCTAGATCAGTGCGTGTTGATTGTTTGCTGCTTCTGCCTGGCTGCCTCCAGGTCTCAGGGAATGTGGTTTTCTCCTCTACCTTATGCAACAGGAAGCATGTTGTGGTTTAAAAAAAAAGACTCCCTTATAAAAGAAAACAAGTCAAGATGGCTGAAGACGTCACTGCTGGCAGTGAGTATAAAGAAGCCTGAAAATCTGAGAGGGAGACGGTCGATGGGGGGCTGTAACTGAGCTCATATCCCATCGTAATGTGCTAGGCTCCTTTCTCCTGAAGCTTATGAAGACACTACTGTGTAGTGGGGCCTTTTTTTGTGTGTGCTTAAATGGGGATTCTGTGGGCACATAGAATTACGAGTTACCAGTCCGTGGGATCATTGGCTCTCTTTGGACAAGAGAAATAGCCTGACTCAGGGACTGCTCTTAGAAACTCTCTTCTGCCTCCTTCGATTTCTCCTGGTGTGACACACAGGTAGCTCCAGCTTTTTATCATTTCAGGTAGTTTATATCTTGGAGAAGAAGCACTCTCGGGCAGCCACTGGATTCATCAAGCTCCTGGCTGATAAGAACAGTGAGCTGTTCAGGAAATATGCCTTGTTTTCACCCTCTGATCACCGAGTCCCGAGGGTTTATGTGCCCCTTGCTGACTGCCCGCTGGACTTTGTGACTCGGCCTAATGACCATGCCCGAACACTCTTTGTCTGCAGGATTGTGGCCTGGGAGGAACACAGCCACTTTGCAGTGGGGTAGGTGATCATGTGTGTGCTTAGGGGACCAGGGGGACCTACTGTTTGCTGGGGGTGGGGCTTCATTTGTTTATTGGACAGCCAGAGGACTTGGCTTATTTGCATTCTAAGTACCACTTACATTTGAAGAAGGCAGGATGGGGAGGCTGTTGTTCCTTTTAGCTGCGTGAACTTACCTGCTGTGGTGTCATTTCCCTCTGGACCCAACAAAGGCTGCGGATGATCTCCCTTTGCAAAGAAGGGAAACCCATTCTGGCCTTGACACTCAGTCGGGGGGCAGCTAGGTGGCACAGTGGATAGAGCACCGGCCCTGAAGTCGGGAGGACCTGAGTTCAAATCTGGCCTCAGACTAGACACTTGGCACTTAACTAACTAGCTGTGTGACCTTAGGCAAGTCACTTAACCCCAATTGCCTAAAACCAAAAAACAAACAAAAAAACAAAATAAAAAGACACTCAGTCAGTTCATGGTTTCCATTTCCAGATGTGTATTGAAAATAAACTGCTTTACCATGCACTTAGACTAAGCCCTTGGTGGTACCAACTGGCCCAAGGCATGGTGAAAGTCAGGGGCATTCTCAGGGGATATTACTTTGCCTTGGATTAAAGCACGTATGTATTTGGAATATCTTGCCTTTTTTTTTTTTTTGGTTAAAGAATGAGTCTTCAAAGTTTTGTCCAATTTAGTGATTACCAAAAAAAAAACAAACCACCAAAAAACCCCCCAAACTCCATCATGGATAGGAGTGTGGCATTCTTTTTCATAGATTCATAAAATGTCAGACTTGGAAGGGGTATGAAGGTGACTTAGTCCAACCTCTTCATTTTACAGATGAGGAAACTGAGGTATGGAGAGGCAAAGTGGTATGTTTGAGGGCATGCATTTATTTGAATTCTTGGGCCACCATTTTGAGAAATAGATGAATGAGTGAATGGAAAAGCATTTATTAAGTAATTACTATGTCCTATGCTAAGTACTGGGGACTCAAATAGAAAAAAATGGCACAGGCCTCGCTTTCACTGTATTGGAAAAGACATCAAGTTCTATAAAAGAGTTCAACCAATGGAAAGGCTCAGAAACTCTTAAGGACAGAGCATGTAGCAAGGCTTTGCAGGCCTTAGTTTTCCCAACAGATGAGAATGGGAAAATGTGGCTCACAACAAGATGTCTAAGTAACAGATCCCAGTAACCTAAGTGAGGCTCATGTGGCTTTCATGAATGACCTTTGCAGTTCAGTGTTTTAACATCTGTCAGTTATATCAGGTTTAAAAGACAGGACAAAAATATAAGGTATGTTACTAATTGTTGAAAGCAAAATGGTTTCTGTGCATTGCACAAAAGGAACAGCGTAACAGCAGATGAATACCTTTATCTGATATGAAAGCTAGTAACTCAGTTTCCCTTGCTTCCAGTTGTGGGGCCAGTGAAATATTGCTATATTTTTTCTAATTGCCATATGAAGAGATAGGAAGAAAATGTGCTATCGTAGAGAGGGGCCACTTTTGCATAGCACACTGGAGTGGGGTGAATAGAGTGCTGGGCTTGGCGTCTCCAGGACTTGAGCTCTAATCGAGCCAGTGTCAGAGCTGCGGTAGCTGCAAGACCCTACTCCAGTCACTGTGCACCCTCTTGGTCTCAGTTCTGCCATCTGGCAAATGAATGTGATAATTGTTGTGACAAACAAATGAGAGAAGAATGGTAAGGTGCTGGGCGAACCTTCGGGCCTCATGAAGATGCTGCTGTGATGATGACGGCAGGGATGATGGTGGTGGTGATAACGATGGTGATGATGACGATGATGATGGTGATGGTGACGATGATGATGGTGATGGTGACGGTGATAACGATGGTGATGGTGATGGTGACGATGATGGTGGTGGTGATGGTGGTGGTGATGACGATGACGGTGACAATGATGATGGTGATGGTGATAATGATGGTGATGATGATGATGACAGTGATGATGGTGACGGTGGTGATGGTGACGATGACGATGGTGACGGTGATAACGATGATGATGATGATGATGATGGTGATGGTGGTGGTGGTGGTGACGATGGTGATGATGGTGATGATGAGAATGGTGGTGACGTGACGATGACGATGATGGTGGTGGTGATGATGACGGTGACAATGACAATTAGTGATGGTGATAACGATGGTGATGATGATAACAGTGATGATGGTGATGGTGGTGGTGACGGTGACGATGATGGTGACAGTGACGATGGTGACGACGACGACAGTGGTGATGGTGGTGGTGATGGTGATGATGATGACGGTGACAGTGACAGTGGTGATGATGATGATGACGGTGGTGGTGATGGTGGTGTGATGACGATGATGGTGACAATGACGATGGTGACGGTGATAATGATGGTGATGATGACGATGACAGTGATGATGGTGGTGGTGACGGTGACGATGATGGTGACAATGACGATGGTGATGGTGATGATGACGACGACAGTGATGATGGTGATGGTGGTGGTGACGGTGACGATGATGGTGACAGTGACGATGGTGATGGTGATGATGACGATGACAGTGATGATGGTGATGGTGGTGGTGACGGTGACGATGATGGTGGTGATGGTGATGACGATGACGGTGACAGTGACGATGGTGACGGTGATGACGATGGTGATGATGACGATGACAGTGAAGATGGTGATGGTGACGGTGACAATGATAATGATGGTGGTGGTGGTGGTGGTGATGACGGTGACGGTGACAATGACGATAGTGACGGTGGTGACGATGGTGATGATGACGATGATAGTGAAGATGGTGATGGTGGTGGTGACGGTGACGATGATGGTGACAATGACGATGGTGACGGTGATGATGACGATGACAGTGATGATGGTGGTGGTGACGGTGACGATGACGGTGACAGTGACGATGGTGACGGTGATGACGATGGTGATGATGACGGTGACAGTGACGATGGTGATGGTGAGAATGGTGGTGGTGGTGATGATGATGATGATGATAGTGATTTACATGTCACCAATGTGATTGCTCCTTTCCATTCTGCTGACATCACTGTGGTTCAGGCTCTCACTACTTCATTCGGGGCTGTGCCAGAGGTAGCCTGTACTTGCCTGTGAGAGCTGATTGTTAAATTTTCAGTGGGAGTGTTCACACCGCTGAAATCAGCTGACACTACAAAGCAGGGCTTGACTTAGTATTTTAATGACTGCTGTCCTGCCATTGATGGTTCAGCATTTATTAGCCCCCACTTGACCTTGGATCAAGGATTATTGCAATGGCAGACCCTGCTGGGCTGTCATACCAATAATGTCTTTTCCTCATGTGGTCTGCGGTCTCATGAAATGTTACTTTCATTGTGTTGCCCTCTACTCACATACTGGAGGGATTCTCTCTTTCCCAGCACATCCAGTGCCCGGGGACTTGTTTTTCAAGACTCCCAAATGTGATGCCTGCTTTTATCCAACTTCTTGCTCACTTTTATTTCCCAGCATGAGCCTCCTATCTGTTCAGATCCATCTCTTCATTGTCCTTCTGAAGACCTTATGTTCTTTCTCAACTTTCAGAAATTGGCAGAAATTAATAATTGTGGGGCACCCAGGAAGTGCAGTGGATAGAGTGCTAGGCCTGGAGTCAGGAAGACCTGAGTTCGGATCTGGCCTCAGACACTTACTTAGCTATGTGAACGCGGCCAAGTCATTTTACCCTGTTGCCTCAGTTTCCTTATCTGTAAAATGAGCTGGAGGAGGAAATGGCAAACCCCTCCAGTGTCTTTGCCAAGAAAACCCCAAATGGGGCCATGAAGAGTCAGAGAGGACTGAACAACAACAAATAATAATTGACATTTGTATCGTTTTTATGGTTTGCCCAGTACTTTATATATATTATCTCATTTACGCCCTCTGAGGTGGGTCCTTGGTATTATTTCTCTATTTTACAGATGAGGAAAGAGAGGCAGCTGGAGTGCTGGGCCTGGATTCGGGAGGACCTAGTTCAAATCCAGCCTCAGACACTAAACTGTGCTGCCCAGGCAAGTCACTTCACCTCTGTTTGCCCGAGTTTCCTTGCCTGGAAAATGGAGAGAGATAATAACAGCGTCCGCCTCTTCCAAGGCGGTCGTGAGCACCAAATGAGATGGTGACTGCAGAGCGCACGCGCGGTGCACACGCTAGCTGGCATCAGCTGTCACAGAGACGCGGAGTGATTTGGCCATGGTGACGCAGTTCTTAAATGTGGAGTGAGTGCCTCTGCTCGCCCCACTTGCAGTGATTTTTGACTCTAGCTCAGCATGCTGACTCTCCTAAATTCAGAACACTTTGCTTTCACCTAAGGAGTTGCCGTCTATGTCTGAGCTGTATAAGCTGTATGGAACTGGAGCTGTCTTGGAGCCCTTGTCAGTTAATGTCATGTGCATGGGTTGACCCTGTAACTGCATCCTCGTCCCATAGGAAAATGGTGTCTGCACAGGCAGAAAGGGCCTCTTGTCTAGGCTGACTCTGCGCGCTTTTGCTGAGCTCCTCCAGAGCCAGCTGTGGGTCACCACTGGGGCATCTGGCACCTGGGAGCTAAGCAGGATGCATAGGCACCTTTGGCGCCATCCAGGCTTGCCTCTGTATGAGGTCCAAACTCTGGTTCTGGCCTTTCCCTCCATGTGTCCCAAGATCCAGTCCTGTTGCTCAGGCCCGCCTCTTAGTGGGCTTGCTCTGAGCAGCCCCTTTCTCACCCTCTGAGCTAAGAGCTGATGGTGACCGTGCCTTTTGGTTTCTCCTGATGTCCTAGGAACACTGGGTGTGGCAAAGAGAAAGGAAATTTGTTGGGCTGGGCAAGGGGCAGCCCTGGAGGTGAGGGGAGGTGCAGGCTTCTCTCTTATCTGCCCTTTTGACAGGTCCCATTGTGCATCCCTGATGTAACTGTTTCACAAGCGTCTGCGTGGCAAGGGTGTGGGCAGGAAGCCTTCCCCAGTGCCTGGATGGGAAAGCTTGAAAGGCTCTCTGAGGTTATTTCCA